AGATGATCAGAGGGCTGGAGCCCCTCTGCTATGGGGACAAGCTGGGAGAATTGAGCTCGTTCAGCCTGGAGAAGAGAAGGCTCCGGGGAGACCTTATAGCACCTTCCAGAGCTGACAAGAAAGCTGGGGAGGAGTTTTTACAGGGACCGTAGTGACAGGACAAGGGGTAACGTGTTTAAACTGAAAGAGGGAGATTAAGATTGGATATCAGGAAGAAATTCTTCCCAGAGAGGGTGGTGAGGCACTGGGACAGGTTGCCCAGAGAAGCTGTGGATGTCCCATCCCTGGAAGTGTCCAAGGCCAGGCTGGATGAGGCTTGGAGCAGGCTGGTCTAGTGGAAGGTGTCCCTGCCCATGGCAGGGGGTTGGAACTAGATGGTCTTTAAGGTCCCTTCCAACCCAAACCCTTCTATGGCTACCTCTCCCCAGCTGCAATTATTATTGCTCTTTCAGACTCCATGTATTTCACGGCAGTCAGGGAAGTGGCCTCATGGTGAGCCCCAAGCAGATGACCACACTAGGGAATACAAATTTCCCCAGACATAGTGCCCTCAGGTCCTGATGTGCATCTTTTGGGCAAGCACTGAGGACAGCAGAAGGGGAATAGGCAGCACTGGGGACCCCCAGCCTCCCACAGCCTGCCTCCCTGCCAGACACAGCAGCGTGGAGGGTACGCAGAGTGCTTTTTGCAGAGGACACCAGTTTTGCACAGGAGAGGAAGGATGTGTTAGACCACCTACCTCCCAACGACTTCAAAACCACTTCACCTACCCAAAGCTTATCTTCTGTTCCCTTGCCAGAGATAACCCTTTGCTCTTCTGGACTCACCAGGCTTAAGAAGAGTACCCAACACCAACCTGGCTGCACACCATCTTTCTGTTTTGTACATGGGGAAACTGAGTCATGGAGACACCTCCTTTGCTCCTGGGCCTCACTGGGGGAAGAACAGCCTGGATCTGGGAGCAGCAGGTGTCCCTGGCTTCTCAGAGGCTCGCAATGTTGAGCCTGAGCAAAAGAATTCTGCTGGGGAGAGGAGATGTTGGCTGAGGCTTGGCACCCTTGGTGAAGGATGTGCTGTGCATTTTTGGGGATGCCCAGGAGTGGAGATGTTGTAAAGGTGTCGAGGTGCAAGGGAACGAATGCACTTACTTTTGGTCGCTTCCACTGGATGCCCTGGATCCTTGACTTGTAGAAGAGCGAGTCATCATTGGCAGGGAAAAGTGGGTCCTCAAAGAGCTGCTTCCGCCTCTGACACTCCTTCTTCAGGGATGCATAGCGCTGGTTCTCATATGGCTTCACTGAGGAAAACATCCTTCCTCACCGGCCCTGGGAGGACAGACAGAGCAGACAGGATCTAGAAAGGGACACTCAATCTTCCTCTGCAGCATCTGCATGGCAGGACCAAGACGTCATGGCTGAAGACAACCACTCAGCCCCTGTCTCTACCTTTTCCCGCCCATCTGGGTGGCCTACATTGCTAGACCCCACATTTATAGTCCCACGAAGCACCTCTGGCTCACTCCAGAAGGCATCAGCATGCTTGATCACCAATTTAAACAGGCATGGGAAGCCCTGCATCCAAACAAGGAGGGATGGATGACTCCTCTAAGCCCAGTTGTAATTCTCTGAATGCAGGACTCCCATTTTCCCCCGAGCTGGCCGAACACCACAGAAGAGGCACAGTAGGAGACAATGACTGGTGTCCTGCCTCTTTGTGAATTCCTAAATCATTTGGGAAAAAGACAGCCCTCAGAGGCAAAGGAGGGGAAGACATCCCCTGCAAGCTGGGTGTGCACAGGTTTTATGGTGCCTGAGCTCTGCCCAGAGCGCCCCCCACGGTGCAGCCTCAAACCACGGACATACATTCCATGATTTCATCCGAGACACCAGTTTCTCATTAGACTTTATCAGATCTGGTTTTAATTAAAAAAAAAAGGCCTCCTGGCAGAGCACCACGTGTTTCTGGATTAATTATTCTGTCTTGACAAGTATCTACCTTCCAAGGCAATCGTGAATTCAGTGATCCAGAAGAGAGAAGGAAACCATTGCCCAAATGCCCGCCCCAGAGAGAGCAGCACCGCTCCTTCGCCCCTGTCATTTGGTCACTAGGTACCAACCCTTTTGCTCCAGTCCTCATCCCTCCACCCTGCAGGTCGAGTCACCTTGTCCTCACGGCTGGCACAAGGAAAGGGGTGCTCTACGTTGTTCTCCTCTACTAAATCAGACCTTCTTCCAAAGCCACTTCCCTGAAGTTTCCCTGTATTTATTTACAACAGCCATGTACAATCCTTCTCTGTTCACAAAATGGGATGTCCTTTTCAGAGGGTTGATCCTGGAAACATCTAGTCTGGTTTCCTAAAGAAACAGGGGTTTGTGTGTCACATAATCCCAACTGTGGTCTCCAACACCATCCACAGTAAAATGAAGGGTGTCCCAGCCAACGGGCAGATGCATCCAGCAAGCTGACCTAACTCATTGCTCCCAGAGAGCCATATAGAAACTATACACTTACTGTGGCACCATCACATGTGCCGGGACGAGGAAGTTGCAATAAAGGCTAATTGGAAGCAGCTAATCTGTAAACATCCCAAATCCCAGGGATTATATGATCACTTACAGTCCGGCACCAATTTAGGAGTAGTGTCACATCTCTTGTTAATGATTAGCTGAAGGAAAGTAGACGTTTGAGAGCTAAACCAATGCCCATGCTGACCAGAGCAATCCTCCGAGAGCATCACCTGCCCAGCCAGCCTCCCCTCATCTGGGAGAGACGAAAACACTTCACTTCTGCACAGCAGAAGCGCAAAGCATAGGTTTTAATTGACGATATTTATCAGCTTGATGAGCAGCACAAGTGCTCATCACTCAGAGCTTAAGTGAACCCAAAATAACCCCCTTGTTGGCTGCTCCACAGGTTTCTGCTGCTTAGGATCAGTTGCTAAAGCAGCTTGTGGGGGGTTTTGTGCCAGCCACCCACCTTTCCCCTTATCAGCTAGCGTGTCCTAGCCTCACACCCTCAGACACAGTGATTGCAAATAACTGTGCAAGGGGGCAATTAAACCTTTAATTAAACATGATCTGAACTCCAAGTGAAGCACCACCCTGCAAGGACTGCATAGGATGGACTGGGGCAACAGGTAGATGCATCTCCCATGAGGAGACCACTCACTGGATGGCCAACAACCCACCTACCCCCATATCTCTCTACTCCCATGTCCCCGATGTGAAGGAAGAACATAATGAGCATTCAGCAATGATCTTCCAGAATTACGGATTTGAGATTTTATAGTTCACAACATCTTAGCTTTCAAGCCAAAGGCAGGGAGAGCAGCTCTGCCTTCCGTGTGCTGCATTACCTGCTCTATTTGGAAACCGAGGCTGGGACCTTGCTTGTGTGGGGCGAGTAAAGAAACTATTAGTTCATACAGGAGCCTTTGAAGGCAGCTCAGCAATACTCTGAGGTGTTGTGGCACAAAGAGCTTACAGAGATTTTCTCCTTGGCCTCAGGACCAGTTCCCAGATGCTACAGAGGCCCAAGTGTATCACCTTCCCTCAGAAAAGCCTTAAAACTAAATGGCTGCGTATCAAAACCTGAATAATACACCAGATTTACTCCTTGTAGAAAAGCAGACAGCCTCACTGAGCAGTCAGGGAATGTTTTCACCCAACAGTGAAAACATGCATCCACCCTGCTAAAAGGGCCAGGGGACGAGCTAGCCTCCAGATCTGCAGCAGTGGAAAGGGGTGAAGGACACGCGAGACATCTCCAGGGAAATTGTGGGGACATCTCAGCAATTAATCGACCAGTTGGAGCGAGTCTAGAGGAGGCCATGGAGTTGCTTCCAGAGCTGAAGCACCTCTGCTATAGGGACAGGCTGGGAGAGTTGGGGGGTTCAGCCTGGAGAAGAGAAGGCTCCGGGGAGACCTTATAGCCCCTTCCAGTGCCTGAAGGGGGTTACAAGGAAGCTGGGGGGGACTTTCTACCAGGACAGGGAGTGACAGGACAAGGGGAAATGGGTTTCAACTGAAAGAGGGAGATTTACACTGGACATCAGGAGGAAATTCTTCCCACAGAGGGTGGTGAGGCACTGGGACAGGTTGCCCAGAGAAGCTGTGGATGTCCCATCGCTAGAAGTGTCCAAGGCCAGGCTGGATGAGGCTTGGAGCAACCTGGTCTAGTGGAAGGGGTCCCTGCCCATGGCAGGGGGTGGGACTGGATGGTCTTTAAGGTCCCTTCCAACCCAAACCATTCTATCATTCTATGAATGAGCCCTTTTCGAGTGACAATCAGGCAGAACTTCGGCAGTGACAGCACTCACTGCTAGAGAGAGACGCAGGCAAAGCAGCAGCATTGGGAAAGGAAGGTTGGCATCTGCTTTCTGCAAGAACACAAGCTGAGAGAAGGATGCTGCTATTAGCTGAGACGCAGATGAATTGCTTGTTCTGGTGCATGAGCTGGACTGACAGACAAGGAAAGGACATTTCCAAGGGGGTTTGTGCAGAAAGAACCAGTGAGATTTAGGAAGAGAGCCTGGAGAGGAGGGAAGGGAGGCCAGATGCCTTTCTAAAAGCTATGCTTGAGTTGAGGTAGGAGTTATGGGTTTGATGCAGGAGGTTCTGGAAGCTGATCCACAGCCTGTCCTGTGGCTGAGGGCTGGCACTTGGCTGCTCATTCATAAAATTACTGCTCCTCCCCAGGCAGCTCTGCAATGACAGCTTGGAGCTGTATTTTCCAATGACCCCTGCAATGCTGACTTCCACGAGATGCCTTGGGCAACATCCATCCCTAAGAGAACAGGACCACGTTCTCTCAGCCAAGGAGCTCCAGCCTTTCTGCCACCCAAATTTGCCTGGGGAGGGAAAAGAGACAACGTCTTGCCCTCCTATCCCATCCCTCAGTGGCTGTCACCTCGACAGCCATCTGTCCTCACTGCGGGGCTGCTCTGACATGAAAGGGTAGAGATGGATTTGAGTCGCAAAGGAAATGCCAAGCAGAATGAGAAGGGATGCTGTTCAGACCATTTAAGAAAAGAAAAACCTTGCAAAATAATTAGAAGGAAGGGGTAGGAGGAAAGTTTATTCTTAGGAGAGTGTTAAAATTCATTACTCTCTCATTTGCAGCATTTCATGCTTACTGGGCTGAACTTTAAATTCTGCCACATTAAAATGCTCCAGGGCTGCCTAATTACTCTTTGCCCTCTTCCACCAATCTAGGATGCTCCAGGAGCCCAATAACTGGGTGTTTCCATGCCTGGTCCCAGTTAACAACCCTACACTTGAACGTGCATGTGTCTGTGTGTGAGCAGGGAGGGGTATCCAACAATTTTTGGAAACAGAGGTCTGAGCCCAACCTCAGACCAGCCACAAAGGAGTTAAACAGGAAACTATTGTATTGCAGGAGGGAGCCAGAATGACTCAGGGGTGTTGTGGACTTCCCCTTTTCACTTCCAGCATCTTCCAGGCTCCTGCCAGCTGGTTCTGATCCCAGCTCTGAGCGCTGCAATGGGAAGAAGGATTGAAAGCGCTTGTGTTGGCCAGGACCAAATACTTGCTGAAAGGCTTTTCCTTCCTCCCCCACAAACCACTTCCTTTCCTTCCCTTCCAACTCCGAGGCTCCTGTACAGTTGTGAGGAACTGTACAGGAGCTGAGATGGGCTCACCACGCTTTCGTTATCCCAAGGCTGCACCCCAGTCAGGAGCAAAGGACTCCTTGTTTGTAGATCCTACAGCTGTCTGCCCCTAGGTCAGACAAAACACCTTGTCTTTAGAGGACAGGATCTGCTGGCCTATGCTCTGTTCTTGCTAAACAGGAGATATCTTCGCTATCACGTTGCAAAGGCATAGGAGAAGATGAAGCAGAAAGCAGGCGTGTGGTTGCCCCATCACCAACCAGGTGCAGTCTTATGGGGGCAGCCCAATAATAGGGTGTTCAGAGCAGCCAGGCTCTTTGTAAAAATGTTATTTAAATAATTTCCAGCCTCCTTAGGTATGGGCAGGCATGGGACAGCACTGGGCCTGCCCTCCCATCTACTAATACTAAAGTCTGGCTCTCTGGAGGAAACGCTGCTGAGGCAAGGACAATTTTATACACCCTTTCTGCTGAACTGAGGTGTGATGGCTTTGGCTTGGTTAGAGTTAATTTTCCTCACAACAGCTAGTATGAGGCTATGTTTTGGATTTGTGCTGAGAATATTGATAACACACTAATGTTTTTACTGTTGCCAAGCAATGCTTACATCAAGTCACGGAATTTTCCAGTTTCTGATACAGCCCCTGTGTTCCCAACTTCTTCTCTACAATACAAGAAGCGG